GAATATAGAATGCAGTCATCAATGTGGTCACAGACATGTTTGTAAAATATATATAAAGACTAAGACATTGATAAAATCACATGACAAGTTTGACATATTCGAGAAATGAAAATATTACCACTCAACTATTTCATTCTGTTATCTAGTCTTAAATAGTCAAGTGGACAGAATGAGGTATCTGTGTGTTAATAGATTTATGCTTCTCAATTACTTAAACCATTTCATCTGATTTTACCAATTCCTTTTAATCACTGACCAAAAAGTTGACTGTCATTTTTTGAGACCTTAGAAGAAATAACCAAAGGGCAGGCTCAGCGTTTTAGAGGTAAATAATTCCTGGGGTAAAGGTCCAGTGCTTGTGTACTACATTTTCTACTTGCATTTCACTCTTAACTCTGAATTCATCTCTTTACAGGTATTAATTCAATTGATGTGCATTGCACAAGTAATGGTGGCCCTCCAGTGGCACAATCTACCAAGGTGCTGTATTTTACAGAAAGAACAGTAACACCCTTCATGTCTTCCATACCCAAGAAGTGAGTAAATAGTTAATGTTATATACCGAGTACGTAGATTCCAGGCATTTGATTGGTTAAAAGCCAGGCAATAGTTCCACCCATGCCTTCCTAGCCGGTCAATAATGCTTACAGTCTCTGTGTAGTGGTATATAAAACAGATATTTACCGGGATTGTAGTCGGGTGATCACCCATGTCCCTTGGCTTCGTCTCGGGACATAGTACAGCCACCAGATCACCTTGGGCTATAAATTGAAACATGACTGGATTAAAATTCCAGTAAATATTTGTTTTAAATACCAGTCCCAGTAAATATTTGTATTATTGTTATTGTTGGCCTTGCATTTTATTGAGACAGATCCAGTGATATTAAATTAGAAAAACTGTTTCCTGTTATATTTTCTGAATCTTTTTCTGTCTTGTCACCCTTCCATCTTTGAGAGACTTATGTATAATGCAACATATTAAAACAAAGAAGCTATATTTATATATTTTCCCTTTTCATTCAAAGGCTTGGCCAAGTAACTCTTCGAGATTTCAAAAAGATATTTGATCGAGACGGCCCATATCGTTACCACTTCAAGGCGTTAGATCCTGAATTTGGGACGGTCAAGGAAGAGGTAGTTGATGATGATGACATCATACCAGGCTGGGAGGGGAAGATAGTAGGTTGGGTGGAGGAAGATGTAGGATGATGAAGAGCGGGGTGGATCAACAGCCTACAAAGCTAACCACACTCCTTCCCACCAAAATTAACACGACTGCATTGATCAAACCAGCTCTCCTAAGGAGGTCTGTGCACATCATATTGTTCCAAACCTTTTTCCTTTCTGTTTGAAAATTATTTAAAAAATCATTCCAATGTTTTTTTTAAATAGACATTCTATCATAAAATTCCATTGACTGCTGGCTAATTGTTTTTTTTTACCAAAACCAAGTGACATTCCTAATAGTATGGTAAATAAATTATTAGTAATTAATAATAATAATATATCCTAGTGCCCAATGAAAACATTGCGTTGCATAACTTAAAATTTTAAAGAACGAAAGTTATTAATTTGATAGTATTTGAGAGTCCAGAATTTTGTCAATTGATTTTGACTATGTTCACATTGTCAAGTGTTTGAAAATTAGTTAAAAATCATTCCAATGGTTTTTTTTTAAATAGACATTCTATCATAAAATTCCATTGACTGCTGGCTAATTGTTTTATTTACCAAAACCAAATGACATTCCTAATAGTATGGTAAATAAATTATTAGTAATTATTAATAATAATGATAGTATATCCTAGTGCCCAATGAAAACATTGCGATGCATAACTTAAAATTTAAAATAACAAAAGTTAATAATTTGATGGTATTTGAGAGTCCAGAATTTTGTCCATTGATTTTGACTATGTCCACATTGTCCAGTGTTTGAAAATAAGTTAAAAATCATTCCAATATTTTTTTTTTAATAGACATTCTATCATAAAATTCCATTGACTGCTTGCTAATTGTTTTATTTACCAAAACCAAATGGCATTCCTAATAGTATGGTAAATAAATTATTAGTAATTATTAATAATAATGATAGTATATCCTAGTGCCCAATGAAAACATTGCGATACATAACTTAAAATTTAAAATAACAAAAGTTAATAATTTGATGGTATTTGAGAGTCCAGAATTTTGTC